TGCTCTCTTCCTTTGCCCCGGGTGGTATTTGTCTTTTTTTGGTTTTTTGTGAGAACTGGGGGGGGGGGGAAAACTCCCCGGGGCCAGAAAAGAAAACGGCTCCTGTCTGTGCTCCTGCTCTCTGAAGATGCCGGTCACAAGTGCTGGCGAAACGTTAGGAAACAAAACTTCCGGAACACCGCCACGCAGCCCGGAAGACCCACACCAGCCATCGTATGCCGGCCGTGAAAGCCTTCGACAATACATCTACATGTAGTACTCCTAAAGATTTTAGCAGAGTTTTAGTGTAGGTTATCTTACATATAATTAATATGAATGACTTGAATCTCTTGACCTAGCAAAGTGAAAAAATATTTGAAACAAACTTACTTCCAGATGTCATTAACCTCGTTAGGAGCAAATTCCTTTGATTCAAGCTGAATCATTGCAAAACCCCCAATAGCATACAAGGATCCAGACAGTTCGACTAAACTAATGGAACTTCTCTCCTGGGGGAATTCCGGCATAACTTCCCATCTGCAATTTAATGAATGAAACATTCAATTTTAGAATATGACTTTTGAGTATAATATGATGTTTAGAAAACAAACAAAAGGTAGCTGCAATATGCTCTTGACCACCTGAAGTTGCAGTTGGTCCAGGATGCAGTGGTGCAGGTATCTTTGGACGCACCATGGTACGTCCCTGTCGTATCACTATTTTACAAACTGCTCTGACTCCCATTAGGTTTCCAGGTGCAACTCAAGGTGCTGTTTATCATCTACAAAGCCCTAAATAGCACACAACTGGGTTATTTCCAGTAATACCTATTTCCAGTTATTTCTGCTTGCCCAGATACTATCTCAGAATGGGTGTGCTCCAGGTCTTCTCCCTCAGGCAATATCATTTGATGGGATCTAGGAGCATCTGCCCTTTGGACTGATCTGCTCTCCCTACCCTCTCCCAGGGTAGGGAGATTTGGATTGCCCCAAGCCTATTTGTTGTTGTTCAGTCGTTAAGCCGTGTCCGACTCTTCGTGACCCCATGAACCATATTGCGCCAGGCCTTCCTGTCCTTCACTGCCTCCCTGAGTTTGCTCAGTTTCATGCTCATTGCTTCAGTGATGCTATCTAACCATCTCATCCTCTGCCGTCCTCTTCTCCTTTTGCCTTCAATCTTTCCCAGCATCAGGGTCTTTTCCAAAGAGTCCTCTCTTCGCATTAGGTGACCAAAGTATCTGAGCTTGAGCTTCATTATCAATCCTTCCAATGAGCAGTCAGGGTTGATTTCCTTTAAGATTGACATTAGGTGACCAAAGTATCTGAGCTTGAGCTTCATTATCAATCCTTCCAATGAGCAGTCAGGGTTGATTTCCTTTAAGATTGACATTAGGTGACCAAAGTATCTGAGCTTGAGCTTCATTATCAATCCTTCCAATGAGCAGTCAGGGTTGATTTCCTTTAAGATTGACATTAGGTGACCAAAGTATCTGAGCTTGAGCTTCATTATCAATCCTTCCAATGAGCAGTCAGGGTTGATTTCCTTTAAGATTGACTGGTTTGACCTCCTAGCAGTCCAGGGGACTCTCAAGAGTCTTCTCCAGCACCACAGTTCAAAGGAAAACTTTAAAAACTTGCCTATTTCCCCAAGCGTTGAGTAAGGAAGGGAGGTAGAACATATGATTGGTGAGAGCTGGCTTTATGCTCTTGATATGTTAGCTTATAGATTTTGGATTTTGTTGTTATTGATATTCATTGCAACATTGTTTGGTGAAGTTATTTGATCATGCTGCCCAGAATCATGGGTAGCTAAATAAATAAATAAATCTAAATAAATACTATTTTCCCTCTGTTCATAAAAGGAAAAGATAACAGCACACCCTATATGAAAGAAAAGTAAAAATACATTTACATACCTGATTGCATTGCCCTACCATGAGAGTCTTTTTAAAAACTGAATTTATAGAATGATTACTGCATTGCACCAAGAACAGTTCATTTTTTTTTTTTTTAGAAAAGATAATTTGTTAGAATGAAGAAAAGGCTCTGTCATCTTTAAGAAGTGGACTGATTGAATAAAGTTTGATGTACATTAATAAAGAACAAATTTTATCAGAAAGTAAGGGCAAAACAGATTAAATTAAAGCATATCGTTCTGCTCAAAAGAGTACGGCCATCTATAATATCTACAAAAAGTGCTCAAGACTTAAATATGCAACAAGGAACTTTACACACAGGCACGCACACACACATACATATATGGTGGGAATTATTTCCGTAGATCAGGATCACACAGCATAGGACTGGGTACAATGTTCGGAATGCTGGATCCTAGTAATTGATGCTACAAGCCCAGTTCACAATACAGGTAGTCCTTGGATTATGACCACTTGTTCAGTGACTGTTCAAGTTACGACAGCATTGAATGAGGGGAGACTTATAAAAGTTGTAGCTGTCGCAGCATCCTTGCAGTCATATGATCATGATTCGGGCACTTGGCAACCAGCTCACAATTATGATGGTTGCAATATCTTACAGTCATGTGATTACCATTTGCGACCTTCCCTGCTGGCTTCCCACAAGCAGAATCAATGGGGAAGCTGGCAAGAGGTGGTAAGTTGCTCCCGTAAGTCACTCCCACTCCCGCTGCTTTTTTGCCCGCCTGCCCACCCATGCTCTGTAGCACCCATCCGTGGCCCACAGCCCTCACCTGCCAGTCTGCTTGTCTGGAACTCCCACCTCTTCCCACGTTGCAGATGTGAGGTCCTCGCTTAATGGCCTGCGTGGTCCTGGGGTTATGATGGCAACCAGGGCTGCTGGGATTGCCATCGCTAAGCAATGCAGTCACGTGACTCACGTAGCTGCATCACTTAGCAACAGAAATTCCAGTCGCAATTGCTGTCATAAACCAAGGACTACCTGTAACACCAATCACTTGTTTGTGGGGAGAGGATGAATCAATCCAGATTTTTCTGCAGATTCAACGTCCTAGCTCATCCTTTCAAACAGATGGGCTGTCAGATATACACTACTCTAAACATTGGAATACATCCCACAGACTATGACAGAATTTAAGTTAAGCCTGAAAATAACAAACAAGTATAAAAGGGTTTAAAAAAGAACAGATATTAACATATTTGGGGCTTTATTTTTAAAGCAATCACTAGAAAACAAGATGCTGGGACAGTATTTATACCATTTAAAGACGTTGATTGCATTTATAAATAAAGGGGCAGAGATTCTGGTAGGCCCCAAAGAAAGTATGCATGGGGGCCCTAAACTGTGCTATTAAACAAAAGCGGATGGAGCGTAGACTAACTTGTTCGTGGTGAGATCAAAGGCTTCGACAGAAGCTGAGAGGCCTTCCTCAGTAACACCCCCGGCAATCACAATTTTTCCTTTATGGATGGCAATACCAAACATGGAGCGAGCCACTTTCATGGGAGGAAGATCGCGCCAATCTCCCCTCTTGGAATTATATACGAATACTCTGTTTGTGCATTTTCTGTGTACAGGAAGAAAGAATGTCAATCATTAAAAAAAAATGTGGACAACAGCAATTATCAAAGCACATGCTTATTAAGAGAGATGGTATTGAGTTCCAGTCACTGACTCAGCTGGATGGGCAACACGCTACACATACGGGGGTAAAAAATAAAGGAACGAAGCTTGTTTCAATTGTTGACCTGTTACATTTGATGAATTCCAAGTTTTATCCTGTTCAGACAAAATGGAACATTTGAAGTCAAATTGTTTTATCCTCAGCTTAAACAAAAAACAGTTTCTACTTTATGCATATTCTTACTAAACATCAGACAAAGCTCTCGGGATTTTAAAGTTAAAGCCAATTATTTCTGTTATTATAGCACTTTTTCTTCTTTTGGGTATTTTCCACACAAATATTTGCTGATATAGCTTGGTTGCAAATTTCTGGATTTCTTGCTCTATAAAGATGATTTCCTATACCTTTGCTAAGATGATTTCAGAAAATTAGATGGGAAGGAAGGAAGGAAGGAAGGAAGGAAGGAAGGAAGGAAGGAAGGAAGGAAGGAGGAAACCAAATCCTTAAGATTAATGGAAATCAACTGCTTAATCTGAATATGAATATAAACACAATCATGAACATGAACTGATTGCTTTCTTATAAAAATTATTAGAAATAGCTTACAAACAGTATATCAGTGCCAGGCAATGTATTAATGGCTGGGGGGCTGTACTTGAAATGGGGAGGATGGTGACTAGAGCATGTTAGGCAATGATGCAAAGTGATTGGGGCTGGAATTTGTTTTTCCCCAGTTTTTCTTGTCTTATTTAAATTAACAGAGTTAAGCTTATTTAAATATTTACACTACACTTTTGATGTGTTTCCTGCCTCAGAATGGCAGAAAACTATATCACTAAGCAAAGAAAGTCATAACAGACCTTATGGACTCCAAAAAGAGAATTTGAGGGCCACAGAATTACTTATTTTTGCTCTAAAAAATCAATCAATATAGTTCTGTTCACTGTCATGCCTATAACGTTAGTTTGTTGGAGGTAAGATTAATCTGCACCATTAGACATGTATAATTCTTGGTAAGATTTATCTCTATCATTAAACACTTGTCACACTATCACCTGATCCACTGGATGGCAAAACTGCAAATATGAACACTTGTTAAGCCACTGAATTAATAGTTCTACCCTACAGCAGTATCTTCACCAGATCATTGCAGAAATGGGGCTTCACGCTGCCAAAATCAGCACTGGGAAATGTAAAAATTTCACTCACTTTGGTATGGCAACACTGGGCCAATATCCAGATGGGTCATCAGCTCTTTGTAGCCTTTTCCTTCTCTGTGATGAATATCTGCATTGATCTTAAATGCAACTAAAATTTACACTGGCCCCAACTGGAAACCTCAGCTGTTAATAGAATTTGGAACCAGAGCAAATAGTTGTGTGGGATAATTTGGGAAGGGGAGTACTTGTGACACTCTTGAAACCGTCCAATACTCACTTATCATCTGTCTTTCCTCCAAGGCAATATATAGCTCCATTATGTGAAGTTGTAGCATGGCCATATACTTTGATCGGGAGCTTTTTGACCTCATTCCATTTGATTGCTCTGGAAGGGAAAGGAACATCAATAAGGCTTTTCAATGTAACAGACAATAAATTGGAAACCTCGTCAAGTAAATCGGTATTAAGCAACTTACACAGGATCGTAACACAATACCGAATCAAGAGACTCCTCAGTCTGGAGATCCTTGCCTGCGATTACATAGATTTTGTTCTCTGATTCTCCCAGTCCAAACAGGCATCTGGCAGATGGCAGGGGAGGAAGGCCAATCCATTCAGATGCGATGGTGTCCAGCTTGATTAAAATGTAGAATGAAGGTTGTTAGCAAAAGTTCCATGCATATTGAAAACAGCTCACAGCAGCATTGTATAAACAGTTAAGCGCATTCTATCACTTTTTACCTTACGTTCTGGAAATGAATGTATTACGTCTTATCCCTGAGACACCTGGCAGTCAGCACTGGCCCATATCTTTTCCATTCTCATTCCATATATTTGTGGATCCCAGTGCATCTTTCGAAAATCACTCCTTTTGAGTTCCTTCAAGGCTTTAGGGTTTGTCTGGTTCAAATTTTCCTGGGCAGGACCTCTGTTCAGTTTTGCTTTTCTCAGGCTTCTCCGTTTACTTAGAATGTTAAACGTTCACCTCCAAGACTAAGCTATAGCACCTCCAAGGGTAGGCTGAGCTGAAAGAGTGAGGGTTCACCCCTGCAAAAAGGAATGTGGCACTCTGTCATGGATGGGAGTCTACGTAGAGGGAATGAAGTCCACTCCTTTAAAAGAGTCAGCAGCTGCTCTAAAGGAAGGCAAGCTTTTATTTCTAGGTTTAAACTAACCCATGTTTTCCCATTTGTATCAGGTCTTACAACTGCTGTTTGATCCTAACTCATGTGAACAATCTGGCTTGTTAAGCCATTGCCAATTAGACAATGTCTTAGATAAAAAGGAAATAGTCAGCATGGTTCCCATGGGTAAAAGTTCCCATGGACATCTTCCTTGACACATGGCAGGTTCCCTGCCTTCCCTACTTTCTTTAGATTTTCTTGCTTTAAAAAAAGGGTTGAGGAAGCTGGCATAGTCCAAAGCAAAGTGTGGTCTCTAACCTAGTGCTTCCTGTGATGTCTCTGGGTCCCACATTGCTCCCATAGATAATCTGAGAACATAAACACGGGTGGATGGCTGCAGCCAAGCGTGCCCGCCTGCTCGTAAGAGGCACAGCTGAGGTGAGGTGGTTGAGAGCATCTTGGGGGCTGCAGAGAGTTTTGGTGTTTGATGACACCAATCCGTAAGCCCCTTCCCACCCCAAGCTGCCTCTTTCCTCCCACGATTGCCTGAAAACATACTCCAAAATTCAGTGACAAATGACCAAACACGGTGGAGTGGTTTTTCATCAGTTTTGGGGAGTGAGGTATAAGCCCTTGGAAAGGCTTAACGTACCAGAAAAAGCAGACATGCCATGCAAAGTCTGTCCCTGTTCACTTGTGGGACATCGTAAGACTGTTTGTCCTGTGGCCCCAGTCCTCCCCACTAAATAAAAGAGCAAAGCTTGCCCATCTCTGCATTAAACTATGGCTTAGTAACACTATGGTTTCATGCACAGATGGGCAAACTCTTAATAATGGACTTTATAAAGAAGGTTAGTGAGGTGATCAAGTGTAATTTTATGTGTCCTGATTCAGATGCCTATATGCATTCAGGAAGAATTAGATCGACAAAAATAAAGAAATGTTCGTATACATCTCTTTCCTGTGTTGAAATGAACAAGGAAACCTCATGAATGGAAGAGCTCCATGTGATACTGGGTTGAGGCAAACAATGAGTGAAAATAAGGAGAGTCCAGAAGAACATTTTTTAAAAATACACCAAGAACCTCACTGGAGTCTAGTTAGTCTCATTCAGACATTCATTTGAGCAGGCATACGAAAAGATTATGTCCAGCCCTTATTCACAGTTGACAGAAAGATGAAAGAGCTTGTGCAATGACAACTATGAGTAAGTTCTTTCAGGCCTTTTGCCAGATGGACTAACAAGGCAGGATTGAGTGTGGCCACCAGCCCCCAGCTGACCTGAGGCGGGCGTCTGAACAGTGATTTTAGGGCAGGTGGTGCCACAGCATCTATTATGAAGCCATTATAGGTTCATTTTCACACAGCAAGATTGGCTGCACATGAAAATAACTTTTTAACAGAAAAATATACAGAGGAAACTGGTTTAGAACATGCCATAATACTAAAGATGCTCTAGAAATCATGCTAAACTAATAGAATATAATTTATCCATACTTTTTTGCACATAGGTGAATATATTATGTCCCTGAACTGGAAAGAAACAAAAAGATGCACTAAAGATAAGTGTTGGGTTTTTAATGCATGGACCTATAATCTATTTTCTTATCCTGAGTTAAATAAATATATACCTGAAAAAAATACGACTGGAAAGGCCGTTCCTTGTTCTCTTCATCCACATACAGTCCTCCGACCACATAGACTTGCTTTTGTTTCGTGACTATGCTGGAATGATTTCTGGGAATCTGTTCTGACAGTGCTGCTAAGTAACATTCATTTTCTGTAGGATCATAAGCTACAGAAGCAGTGTCATTGATCAAAAGAATGAGATCTTTAACAAACATCCCATGCCTTGGAACATCATTTAGGTAACCGGGGAGTAAATTTTCATCCCCTACATCTCCATTAACCTCTCCTTTGGCTGACTTCCCAGCGGCTTTCGTAGGTTCAGGCAATTTCCCAGCAAAGGCATCTTTAATAACTTTAATTTTTTTTGAAAGGTCTGGGTTGCTTTTAATTATGTCATTCTTCTCAACGTGCTCCTTGAAATACTTCTCCTCTATCAGGCGAAAACGGATACAGTCAAACACTTCTCCAAGACTCTTCACCCGGTTCTCTTTATCTGACTTGACCCATCTCATGACAGCTTCAAAGACAACTTCCTCCTTTTCAACATTCAAACTGTCTGGTGAAATAACTGAGATGAGTTCATGAGGAGCGAGTTGCATGAAGTCCTCTTCTTTGCAAATTTTCACAAAGTGGTCAGAAACAAAATCACGGGCAGACAATGCAAGTCTTGGGCAGTCAAGGAGGAGACCTAATCTAAGGATGGCCAAGCAATTGCCAACAGCGAGTCTCTTCTGAAGATAAGAAACACACACAGTAAAAATAGATGGAATTTGAAAGCGGCTTGCCAAAGCAAAAATATCTTGCACGTTAGAATCATTAAGGTCGATCGTTGCAGAATAAAGGTACTTAACAATCATATCAAGGATGGTAGGGTCAACATTATCTAGCACTACTTCTTTCTTTTTATCTTCACTTTGCTCAGATAAGAAGTACTCACGGAAATAAGGACTACAGGCTGACAAGATCAGTCTGTGGCATGGCAGACTTTTATCCCCTGCCTTTAGGGAACAGTCAACAAACTTTTTCTCTTCCAAAAGCTCCCTAAGGCCATCTTGAAGAAGAGTGGATTGATAAAGTCGAAGTTCTTCAGTAAGTTCTCTCTGGGAATCCATTTTGTGGAAGGCTTGGCTACCGAAGCACAAAAGAAACCCCTCTTGTTGGTACCTAGGTCTGCCTGAAAAAGGCAGATCAATGTACGTTGCCCTGCTTGAAGCTTCTGTAATTTAATCTTGCCAGCTAAATATAGTACAGAGTTTCACCAGCTGGAATTTAGAATGGATGGTGTGGAAAGAAAATGGAGCTTGCAGCTGTCATGGGTTGAAAGAAGCAACTGTTACTTTGGTCACTAGGGAATCAGTTTTACTTGCTACACACACTGAATGATGGAGATTACTTGTAAAATATACTTAGCATTGTGACTTAGCCGCGGTGCAGAATTAGGTTTGAATGTAGTTACTAGGAAATTGGTCTCTATAACATTCATGTCACTTAATACTTCAGCTCAAGTATGAACTGAAAAGATGGAAGTTAGCAGGTGAAAGTATGATGGCCAATGGCCAGTCGTGATTGAAAACCACTGAAAAGATTGTTTCCCTGAAAGTCTCCAACATACATGCCTATAAAAACAAATTCCTATGAAAGCTTTGCTAGGAGATAAATTTAGGATTTTATTTTAGCCTGTTACTGTAGTCATTCATCTCATTGTTTCCCAATATGTGTGGTGATTTAACATAAAATTAGGATTGAATCTCAAACAGCAATCCAGGGAATAGCAGCACAAACAGTGCATTCAGAAAGTATTCAGACCCCCTTCACTTTTTTCAATTTTGTCATGTTGGAGCCTGATACTACAATTGTTCAAATTCATTTTTTTCCTCATTAATCTACACTCGGTACCCCATAGTGACAAAGTGAAAACAGAATTATAGAAATGTCTGTAAATTTATTAAAAAGGAAAAACTGGAATATCACATTGGCATAAGTATT